CCTTATGGTATCTAATGGTACCTTTTATATACCTTATGGTATCTAATGGTACCTTTTATATACCTTATGGTATCTAATGGTACCTTTTATATACCTTATGGTATCTAATGGTACCTTTTATATACCTTATGGTATCTAATGGTACCTTTTATATACCTTATGGTATCTAATGGTACCTTTTATATACCTTATGGTATCTAATGGTACCTTTTATATACCTTATGGTATCTAATGGTACCTTTTATATACCTTATGGTATCTAATGGTACCTTTTATATACCTTATGGTATCTAATGGTACCTTTTATATACCTTATGGTATCTAATGGTACCTTTTATATACCTTGGAAATTAAAGAATTTTATAATGATGATACCAAGACATATTTTGACATGGCTTCTTAGCATTATGTCAAAACAGTGACATCTTGTCATTGTTAGAGGATAAATAGCTACCTCAAGAAGAGCCTCACAAAAGATTTGCCCTTGTATTGGGAAAATAAGAAATAATAGACTGACAGAAAAAATCTAATATTGACACTAATAAAGGAATAAATACTCAATATAAATACATTTCTTTTTAATTTGCAGCTTAAAAGTTTAGGGAAAAGTAGCAATTTATAATATTTATATCTTTTTAATATTTTATAATCTTCATGGATTTTTTTAGAATATCATTATATTCAATTGAAATGCATTAAAATAAATTATTTTAATTCTGTTTTAATTATATTTAAAGTATAAAAACTTAATCATATTAAACCAAAATTTATTCTCTCACGCTTTAATTAAAAAAATACATTAAATAAAAAAGATTTAAAAAAGTTTAAATACAAAAGATAATACTACTTTAGATAAATAGAAACAGAAAGAGTATTTTAAAAAGAAAATTAGGGATGTCCCGGATAGGCAATCCGGCCATATATGATTTTTATTTGGTATCTGATATGTGGCCGGATAATAACTTTATCCGGTTTTTTATATACCGGATATTTCATGTTAATAACAAATACATCAGTTAATCATTTATTTATATTTCTTTTATCTCAACATGGAGAAATTAACATTTTCCCACATTAACGCTTTTTCTCATTAATAATGAAAACAATCATCCGAAAAAACAGTGGATGCAGGTGGCACAAGTATAAATTACTTGTGCCATTTGCATCTGCTGTATTTTCATGCTAAATTTTTAAGCAGTTGAAACTTTGAATTACATTATCTGGCAAGATAATTTTTCAATATCCCAGTACTTGATATCTTATCAGATAATTAAAAAATGTTATGAGGACACCCCTAGTGGAATTCATAATACTTTGTAATAACATAATATTTTGATATTACTTTTTTGAAAAGATTACTCATTTGATCTCTTCATTGAGCTTTTATAAAAATGTTTAGTTGACTTTTCATAACAATGTTTTTGTAATTGATTCTATTTTAAATAGTTTAAAGTAGTTTTGGATAATTTCAAATCTCAGGTCATATCAGGATTATGATTATCATATCAGGATTATGATTATTAATCAAGATTATGAATCAAGATCATCAAGATCATTTCATCACCAAGATCATTTTATCATCATTATCATCAAGATCAACTTGATTGTTTATATTATAAAAACAGCATAAATAAGGAAGTTTGATGACAATGATGGTGATAATGATGAAGATGATAGCGATAATGATGATGATGATGGCAATGATGATTATGATGATTATGTTGATCAAATGATGTTTATATATGCATATATATACAAAATATAACATGAATTTTTAATTTAAAAAATATACTTTAAAATTTATAAATGTTTATGCAGCCATGGTCACAAACCCGGCCCCAGCCCTGATTAAGTTTCAACCCCAGTTGCTTCCTATCTGGTAATTCTAAGAGAAGCTGATTCTAGCAAATGTAAAATACCAGAGTAATAATAGTTCCAAAAAATTGGACATAGAAAACGCCTCTGTTAGTGCTATTGGTGTGCATGGTTGAAGCCACATAACAAGCTCTTTATTATAACAACAAGCTTATTGCTTAGGGTGTCATGGGTGATGTTTAGGGTGTCATACATTTATCTATGATTGAGTCAAGTTCTCAACTTTTCTCAAGCTCTCAACTTTTCAACTCTTTCAACTATTAAAAATATGAATAACATATGTTAAAATATTAATTGAAAAACCCCATAAAAATACCACAAAATTGTTTCAATCTAATCTTTACAAATATTCATGATCTTTCAAGTAACTCTTCATCTATTGAGTCTTACCTTAAGCAAAACTCACAAGACCTACTTGTCTTAAGTAAAACTAATTTAAGATGTTTAGTATTTGCATCTTAGTATCGTCGGCTATTATCCTTTGATTTACAAAGACTCACCTACTTGGTCTGAACTTCTACTTGCAGTAGTATTATAGTGGTAAAGCACTTGCTTCAAATAGGAGAAGTTCCAAGTTCTATCCCCACCAAGTCCCTGGTAGTACTGCGCTCAACATATTTCTTTATGCAGGGTTCAAGGTTTATGTTTCAGAGTTAAAGAGTTTAGTGAGGGTTGTAACCACTATATATATATATATATATATATATATATATATATATATATATATATATATATATATATATATATATATATATATATATATATATATATATATATATATATATATATATATATATATATATATATATATATATATATATATATATATATATATATATATATATGTATATATATATATATATATAAATATATATATATATATATATATATATATATATATATATATATATATATATATATATATATATATATATATATATATATATATATATATATATATATATATATAGGCCCTTGAAAACTTAATTGGTCCCTATAATTATCAAAAAAAAAACATTAGGAAAAAAATTATACATTTTTTTAGTAAAAATGCATATTTTGAGTTAAAAAATGTAAAATAATAATTTTTTTATGAAACAATGATTATTTTTAAAGGTTTTGTATAATTTCGCTTCTTTTGAGACCCAACATATACTTTTGAAGAACTACTTTTTTCATAATTAAGTGACCAATTAAGTGTTCAAGGTCCTTAAGGCACCCCTTGAAATATTTTTTTTCAATAATTTTTTAATTCTAGTATTATTTTATTATATAGAACACATTTAGATGGTGAGAGCAGACATTAA